CCAACAATGTCGAGTCAGTTCCTTGGGCCTCATCAACTCGTTCCTGCTCTTTCAGTCTTAGTGAGCTTATGTGCCAGTTTCCGACTGTAAGCCTCCAAGGCCTGGTTCATTCCATTGGAGAGTTATTCGACGTGCTATAATTGCAGTGCGCTGTCTGCCTCCTCCGTTCAGAACGGATAGCTGCTCCGTTGTTTATTGGAATTCGTCGTCGCCGTTTCGTCGATCTTCGGCAACCGTTGTCGTGTTGCTACGAACTCGGCTGCCAGAAGACGGTGTGCAGGTTCTGATCGCCGACATTTCGCAGCCTTCCTCCATCCATCAACAGCCCGTGTGACCCTCGATACCCGGGGCGACGACCGAGCCGGTGTAATGTTCGATGAGTGCAGTTCCATGGGTGGCAGGTGTCTGAGTTTTACGGAGACCTCACCAGATCTCCATCTCTCCTCCTTTTTCATGCGGACTTGGTAGCGCCTACGGCGAAGTTTACTTATTTTTAAGAAGCGAACATTATTGTTGTTTAATGTCTATAATTTGTGTTTCATAAAAATAAGTAAACTTCGTTTGTATTCGAATTATTGTTGTTTAATGTCTGACTGTTGTAGACGCCTTTTTGTGTTATGGAATGCCTTTGTTGTGCGTCATATGTGGAAATATTTATAGTATTTTATTCGACTTTTCTGAGACTATCAAGCTTCCGCTGCTATCGTAATCTGCAAAAAAATCCGTATAAGTCTATCATTTCCACTTAGAGTTTTGGTTTGTTATGACGAGTGCCTCTTTATTGTATCGAGAATAAAAGAATGATTGAAAAACTTGTTTAAACGCGCTGTTTAATAAGTTCTTTTCTTTAGCAACAGGAAAGTTACCGTTGGTAGGAAACTTAGGAATGGACGATTCGGGAGTTGTTTCTTTCATTCCGACAATAATGCGGTGATTTTCGCTGCGCGTCCGAGTGGAAGACTGTGGGAGGCAAGGGAGTCAGGCGACGTATTCAGTACTCATAAATTTCCGATGTCAAATTCTTATCCGTGTTCTAGCCTTATCAGCTACCGGTAATTTTTATTCGTTTCTATCGTTATGGGAAACATGTATACTTGAATCTAGTTTCAAGGACTTTAAACAATCGTTTTCGCCCGTCGATATCACATTTGCGGATCTCTCAATTATAAGGTAGGAGTATCATAGCTTTCACTTAATAATAGAAATCTTAAGCGTTTCGTTCTTGCAGTGACGTATTTATTGCCTCCGCTGTTCAGCGCAATATCGTGTTGATTGATCCGCGTAAATCCAGGGTACTTATTGTCTGTACTTTAGACGAAGGTAGGGGATCGTACAGTTTTTTAATGTGCATTGAGAAAGCGTTTATTGCAGTGATCGTGTTTTTTTAGAAATTTATCGTTATTCCGTATGTGGAAGTGAAATTTTTATCCTGACCCTCAGCGGATGTTTGCGGAAGCTGAATTTATTTACTATTAAGAAGGCCGCTGAAAAACTCTTCTATTGTAAATTCTACTCATTGTCAGCGCAGCTCATCTGCAGTGCATTCGACTTGTGCAGTTCGTTCGTTCGCTGTCTCCTTGGTTGCTGCTTTTAATCGAACGGCTGATTTCAGGCTCTTTCCTTGGGATCGAAACTTTATCACTAAGTTGGTGAAAGAAATCAAGGAATATACTTTGAAACAGAGACTCGAAACCTACCTTCTTTACCTGCAGCGATACAATAAAGGTAGTTTAATTTGATCGCTATTGTACTTCCAGCACGCGACTTACATCCTTTTCAGCGTATAATGACTGGGGAGCCTGTGTTGCACGTTGCACGGTTTATTTTGTCGAAATAACGTTGCACGGTTTATTTTGTCGAAAACATTGTTTGCTTTACGTCTTTAGCCATGGAGCCGTTATCCGTTTTGAGAGAGAAAAGCAAACTAGACGATGCCATTATAGCACGTCAGATAAGGCTTCGTGCGAACGATAGCGACAGTGAAAGCTTCCAGTCAGAAATTGGAACATATCCTCACTCAGAAAAAGAGCAGAAGCTAGTTGATCAGGCCGAAAGGCCTAACTAACTCGACATAGCTGGACTCTCGTCAGTGGAGTGTCGAAGCTCTGGAATCTTGAAACTTTACGGATGGAGTCTATTCTAGTTAGGTTCAGACATCACCACGCGCGCTCAGGATGATGTTGTTGTGGTAGAACCAAATCTGGCTCATAGAATCATTGAATGGAAGCCTGTCAGCGGAAGAGTGGCAATCCTCCGACTGAAGCTACTACTGGCTAAAGTGTTGACCTTGTTACAGGTCTGTGCATCCATCTCAGATGGGGAATACGAGTCCTTCCTAGAGAAAGTGGATTGTACTCTGTACGTAGTGCCGACTACGGAGTCCCTCATTCTAATAGGCGATTTTACTGCGCATATCGGAGTATTGGCTGAAAAGTGAAAAGATGTGATCGGAAAGAATGGCCCTAGTGACCTCAACAATAACAGCATGAAGTTGTTGTTTTGTGCAAACAATGAACTGTCTGTTTTGAGCATCTTTTTTGGACATCGAAGCGTGCATCAGTATACCTGGTAAGCTTGTGCACAAAAGTCGATGATCAGCTGGATAATTGTATCGCCGGACTTAACGAAGTTCTATAACTGATGTTCCTTAGGAGAGCTGCAGAACTGTCAACAAACGATTATCAGCTTGTTGGCACGCTTTGCTGTAAGAATTGGAGTACCATACGAAAATGTGATAGCCGAAGCAACCAGAGAATTGATTGGAAAACTTATCTTCGGCGGATACGAGAGCGAAACAGGCAAACAAGATCACGCGATGGTTTGAACAAATCCAGATGATGACCGCTGATTTGGAAACTGGGTGGGAGCTCTTTAAGAGCAGCGAATGGTTTTGCCGCCGAATGCTGCGCATTCAAACTGGTTGGTCTGCGGCCTGGTGATGAGAAACGAACTTCCTGGTGTACACGAGAGGTTCAGCTGGCTGTCACTGAGAAGGCTGCATTTAAGAGATAGCTTTAAAGCATGGAACCTTCAACTCGCATGTGGTATGAAGAAGCGCGCAAAGCAATAGCAAAAGTTAAACCTAAGCTGATTCCTGGGAAGAGTTCGGTGAAATGCTGGAGTCGAATTATCAGACGGCAGATAAAGTATTTTGGCAGACCATTCGCCTGCTCTGAGGTGAAAAGAAGGGCAGTTTAAGAATCTTGAAAGACAGGGTCTACACACCCTCTTACCGAGGATGAGGACGTTGTTCAGCAATGGAAAGAGTATTTTGAGGAACTCCTTAGCTCCGAGCAACCGCAGAAAGGCTTCCCTGAAGAGTATCAGGGACAGATATTAGTATTTGTGTAGATTGAGTCGCAGAGACTGTAAAATCCTTGAAAAGTGGTAGATTGTTGGAATTTATGAAATTCGCCCTGAAATGTTTTAATTGTTTGGCGAACAAGGAATGTTGTGGCTAACCCATATCTGTTAAACTGCGTCAGCTACTGGAAGGCACCAGTGAACTGGAGAACAGGGGTTTTAGTACTCTTGTTTCGAGAAGGCAGACCATTCTGATTGCTACAATTATCGTGACATTACCGTTTTGAGTTTCCCTGGAAATATAGGATGCCACTGTGTTAGAAGTGAGATGGCGTTGAAAAACTGACTCTAAGATACAATAAGAATAGTGTTGCTTAAGGTCAGACGGAAGCGTAGATGACCAGATCTTCACATTACGTCAAATTGCGGAGAATTACATTAATTTCTCTTGGTGCTTGATATGTGCTTGTATACCTGGAGAATTGCTATGATCCAATCCCGCGCAACAGTCTGTTTACGTGCCTGCTTACGTATGGGTCGATAGCAGTTCCAGTCACTATGTGCTGATAGCAGGTGATGCGTCAGGGTAATGGCGTTAAGTCGAGACCTTTAAGGGTTGACACTTGTCTCCTCCAAGACTGTGGTCTGTCCTCTTTCCTGTTTGTGTTGTACATGGATAGAATAGTCAGGCGCAGCCATTATTATAAGTGGGTCAGCGTCGGAGATGCCTAGACGAAAAGTTGCTGGTTGCGGACGACATTGTTTCTTTGGCATCTTCCGAAACTGAGACAAGGCTGTCCGGAAAGATTCGCAGCCGAGCGCGACGTGGTCGGCATACGTGTGAACGTAACTAAAACGAAAAGCCTTGTGCTTTCTCGTTCTCCTGCCCGTTGCTCTCTTCAGATAAATGGAGAAGCAGAGGAGCATGTGGAACAGTTTGAATGCCTCGGCGTCGTGTTTATTGGTGATGGAAAATGGAAGAAAGATGTCGACCGGTGGATTGGAGTCGTTCTGCTTGAAATATCTTGAACCATTGATCCTGAAGACTAAGCTGTCGGTGTTCAAATCGATCTTCAGCCCCATGTTCATCTACGGTGATGAGTCGTGGACTGACTGAAAATGTTTGATCTCGGGTACAAGCGCCCTAGCGGCCCACATTTCATGGGCTTTCTGAGACGAAACACTGGTCTTGCGTGTCTCGGCATGGTCCGTACTACAGGTATCCGAGAGAGCCTTTTTTGTAAAGCTGCTGGTTGTTTAAATTAAAAAGTCACTGCTGCGATGGTTTTGGCACTGTTACGACTATTTTCTGGAAGGAAGGCGAAGCAACTACTACTTACCCCATCGACTGGCAGAAGGTCCAGGTGATGACCAAGATTAACTTGTGACTTGTTTCTAATGTATTGAATGAGTCTGCTCTAGACTCTTGTCTTGTGCGAGACTCGGATGCCGGCAGAAGATTGAGAACGTTGGGATCACTCTCTGACGCATGTTTCCGCGAGTGGAAAGGAGAAGCGGTCATTAGTGTTGATTTCTTGATTGATACTTGTTACTGTCGAAGGTGATTACCGTTGCCTGATTGCAGTGTCCATTACTGACTGTTGCGCATGAATTGTTACTTTTTTCTGATACATTTTTCGGTACTCGTCTTCCCACCCGATGAGTGGAGGTGTCCTGACTACTTGCTGCTTGCCTCTTATGTGTAGTCTGTCAAGTTCATCTGTGATCCATCAGTTGTGTAGTACGAGATGCTGATCTTATGTTCTAATTCACTGCGACATTATGTCTTTAATCCCTATGCGTCTTTTCTTATTTCTTCATTCCACTACCTGTAACTGACCGATGGTTATCTATCAGAACCTATTGTCTCAATGATTTCAGATTCTGAGGTTCGTTCTGTTTGTATCGAATGTTTGTGAGCCGTTTGCTCTGCTTTAAATAACTGAGAACCGTACTGATTTTCATCTTTTGGATTACCTGTTTTGCGGACTCACTGCTGTTCACATATAATGCTTTTGACAGCTTGATGCTACCAGCTTTATAAGTAATTTTAAACTTTAGAGATTGGTGTGTTGGTGTTGTTGTTGTTTTGATGTCTTAATAATTTGTGAAGTATTTGTAGAAACGAAGCAAAGTTACAGCGTGCAGGTGGCGGGTGGTATCTATCAGGTGGTGCGAACTATGGAAAGCAGTGGCTATGAAGACGACTTCATTTTTCGTGCCCCTTCGCCGCTCAGAAGCAACAGTCTTCAACGCCGCAGTAAGAGTTCTCCATCTTTTCAGAATGCCGGTCCACTGCACAGTGCGTGTGCTTCGGCCAGCTGTTCAAACATCGAACGCGTATCAGCAGAGACGAACGACTACGACCACCGAACAGCGTTGTCGAAAAATTTGACCGTAGCTTTTGACCCGGTGTTGAAAAATTCCACCACTAATCCTCCGTTCGTAGTAGCCAACGACTTATCAGAAGTCTTCGCTAAATCTGACTCCACTTCTACTGTCAGCTGCAAAAGTAGGCTGCTTTGCCCTCGTAAGTATCTAAGATTGGATTTCAAACTTTTGGTCAGTTTTGCCAGAAATTATTTGTCTGTACTCAAGATGTCTTGATGCATAAATCAGTAATGCCTTTAGCATGTCATGCGATTTATATGCTTTAATTTAGTGTTAGAGTTCGAGTGGCTGTTGAATCTACAGTGAATCACAGAATTTTCAGAATTACGACTTTTGATCAGTACCTGGTTTCTCATTTGGTTGGTAGGAGAATTCAAAAGGCAGTATATATGCTTCTAGCTAGACCTCCTAACGGCATTTTATAAACACAGCTGCATTGGGCAGGCAAGAATGGAGCTTAACAACGGAATTGAGTGCCTTGATTAGCCTTAAAAAAATATATGAACATTTCGACGGCGGTATCAGAGCAAAGCTGAAGAACTTCGTCATCTCGTGAGATGCGAATAAATTTATTCGAATCTCAGACAGTGAAGAAGAATCATTATTGAAAGGTTAACACAAATAGTCTGTGGCAAGCTGAATGGACAGTTAAATACTTATGCGATCATCACATCGTGTTACTGCCGTGATTATTGAGCGATTGGCTCTTTTAACTCGTTTTAACGTTATAGTACAGCTGGTTTGTCTGTCATATGGTTTAGAGCATCCGACTGATAAATGTGGCCTCATACAGATAGTTTACCACTACAAAATTGAAAGTGGTCATTGATCTTGTACCTAATTCAAAAGTAGTCGCGTATTTGTCAGATTATGCTAAAATTTTTGAGGAAGATACTGAAAATGCTTACTTATTTTAATAAAATGTTTATGAATTTTATTTTCAACCTGGCGTTTCGTTCCCTTGGCGTTACCTAAAATTGTTCGCCTAGCCATGAAATCCACTAGATAAGCAGGATTTTGTCCTAAAATTGGGAGTTTTTTAATTCAGTGACTTTAGGCATAACATCAAAGGGTTTTCTCGAAGAGTCAACTTTTTTAGACAGCTGTGTTACTGTTCGCTGTCAGGATAAACGCGATCGAAATTAGAAACTGGACATGATAATATATTATTATATCAAGATTGCTCAAGTTTCAGTATGGATTCTAAGATGTTGCTGCAAACTGTGCACAGTCATGCCAGGCCATTTTGTCCTTGGCAGTTTGTATCCAGTTCCTTCCCGCTGTTTCTTCTACATACATTCGCCATCTCATCTGAGGTCGCCCGAGTGGTCGTTTTCTTTATCTCGGATACCATTCGGCAGTACGCGACGTCCATCGGTTGGCATCGGGACGTGCGACGTGGCCTGCCCAACGGATCTTACTCTCTCTCATAGCTTGCACGCTACTTTGCACGCGACTCATTTTGCGGAGCGTTTTGTTGTCGATATGGTCACGAAGAGATGTTCTAAACATCCTTCATTCTATTGCTCTCTCTGTCACAGCCAGAACATTTTCTTTTGCTTTCGTCGGTACTCACGTTTCGCATCAGTACGTCATTGTTTTCAGCACTACAATATTGAAGAGACAAACGCGGTCTTTCTTGCCGGCCCGTCGCCGGAGGCCCGTCCTAAGGGAGCGCTCCTGGCGTCGATATCCTTTTCTTATTGTATACATGTTTGTTGGACCTGTTAATTTACCACTCGCTGGTCCAGGCTGTCGGTTGTACCGTCCATGCTTAAGCCGGCCAAGGATGCACTGCTGCGTCTTTTCGGCGTGATAGAAGCTGCCAAGGTATGTTTCGCGCCGTGCTTTGACGCTTTGACCGTTGCCTCTCCCACATCATGAGGATTTGCTTGGGTCGGAATTTTGAGGGAGGGATAATATGATACCATTCAATTTTTTCCTTCAGTCAATGAAATTTTCTTAAGTGAACCTTAAGACACACGATTAGTCCTGTTGATTTGAGGTAGTAAAGAAACTTTTAGCCTACTCTGACAAATTTAAATGAGGTGAACGGCAAATGTAAGAGTGTTAGAACTAAAATACTGCCCTAATCACTAAAACAATGAACTCTCATGAATAAATGTTACCTGTTTCCATTTGTATAAATATAATATACAGGTCTCATTGGAAGATTCTCTTTTACAGTAGTTATTTAGTTCGTGTATTCTTCTGTATCATCTAGTGGATTTTGTTCAGATTATTTTATTTAGGAGTTGTGAGGGACGAAGGCCATTCATCGAACATTTGTTGTCGAAGCTGTCATCTTCATAAGTAATTTTTTACTGTTACATTTAATTACTGAATCTATAAAGAGTATACGAAGCCATAGTTTTTAAGGGTGTTCTTGTAGAATACTATAGTATCGTCTATGCTGTTCACCTCTCGAATCAGTAATTTGCAAAGTGAAACAGAGTCGAGGCCTTTTAGAGAGTGGCAAACTGATAATTCGTTTTGCGCTTGTTGATGACATGTGTTGTTTTGGAAACATAAAAGTAGAAGCAAGCTAGAGTTATTGCAAATGGACTTCAAATAGGCAGAACGAAGACAAAAATGGCAAGAAATGAATCCACACGCCCAGCATCAACGGATATCAGCGATAATAAGACAGGAATCATTGCGTATATTTATTTGGTAAGCTAACCGCCTCTAACTATTGCTTCGGTTCGGAGATCGTCGTGCTTCATGAAGTACGTACAGCGACGTTGACCTCTTGAAAACAAACCGCCAGTTTTGAGATTAAATGCATTTTATAAGTATACAGTAAAGATTGTAAAATGTAGGCTTTAATTAAGGAAGCTGTCAAATTTTCAGAGTGCATCAGCAGACTACGAGAAATGAATGTTCGCAGTTTCAGTCAAGGCCGAACAGTGTAATGAAAACATATTAACACTAGACGTTGTGCCACTGGTAAATGTGAGAGAAATGCGCTGGCAGGACACACTGCACAATTAGCATATGAGAGATTGACTTTAGTAGAGACAGGCGTAATATGAAACTCTTGCACTTAACGAACTAGGAAATAGGAAATTCTAAAATGGGCTAATTTTGTTTTAGTTCCTGGCGTTTGCTGTTCATCATTGGTAGAGATATAACAAGGCTGTCCTACGATTTGAACTATTTTGCTGACAGTAAGAAGCATTCGTAATCGGTATAAATTTAGTTGTTTCTATTTCGCCTAGGCGGGGTTCCAACACTTGACCACCAATGGATATCTGTGCTAAAATGGCACAAGGCGATGAAGGGCAGAGTGATTAGAGGATCGGCATTGTGCGAACGATGCAAGGTACTGTGCGCGTCCGCGATGGATGACTATCCACAGGCTGAAAATGAGTGGTGCAGGCTGAAAAACGGTCCACAACTTCAGCCGTTCGCTGTCCTCCAGCATATTACTGACAGAAGCGACTTGGTCAGCTTCTTTCTTGATGACATTTCAGACACAGAATCGACGAGTAGCGATTTACGTACGCCGTCTGATCCCGAACAGCGAGCACTCGTTGGCAAATCTGCGAACAAGAGTGATGAACTTCTGTCAGACCTTGATCGATGGAATTGGTTGGCTGATGTCGAACTGGAGCTACTGCTTTGGTGCTTCTTGAAAGTGAGCGGAATGGACGTGCTTGCACAGTTTTTGGAGCAGAATGCCCTTTTCGCTGAAGTTTCGCCCAATTTCTATTGCTTTCTGCTCAACTACCCGAACCCGACCGCAACTTGTATCGATCATCAAGTACACTTTTTACTGCTGATTTTAGTAAAAGGACACGCTTCAAACTTTTTGAGGTTCTTCGCTCATTGTCAATCGAGTTCTATGGAATTAAGCTTTCGGACAATGGACCAACTTGTCATGAACACTCCGTTTCGATTAAAAGCGACAAGTGCGTTTTACGTTCCTATTATTTATTATCTTGTCAGACTTTCTCAATATGGCATGTGAGAATCTTCTACTCTGGAACTGTTTCAGTTCATACTCTTCACGTTAAGCTTATTATATTCAATGAGGAATTTTATATTCATATTTAAAAATAGTTATGGAGAACTGCAAATAAAGATATTGAATTCAATATTTGTTAACCCATCAGAAATAAAAGTGATTCGTCCACTATTAAAATGCGATCCATCTTGACGTATAAGGAAATTTGCATTTTTCACAGAGGCGTCTCATCAACATTGTGTTTGGTGAGACCGTTCATGCCGTAATGGATGTCGTGATGAGATCAAGCAAGGATTATTAAACCCTTAACTGTAGCATGGTCGTACTGCACCATTTTTACCGTCGATTTTTCCTTGCATAGGACGACAAATGAGGACAGAGTAAATCATTGGCAGATTCTACTTGCCCGGCAACATCTACGATGCATTGCTCTTGGAAATTGAAATTTTTGCTCTCTCACTAC